TTCCTAAAAAATAATAAATCAGTGAACTGGAATAACCTAGCAATAGAATCAATTTGAAAATGAAGCACAAATATTAAAAAGACCCGGGTCAGGGAGCTAGAGCCTTTGTTACTGGTAGGAAACTAGATGTAGGCTAGTAAATGTGTGCTTGGGGTTTCGTAGAAAACAGGACACAAAATTATTTAAGAAATAATGACCTGGGCTGGGGATATAGCTCAGCAGCACAAGCACCTGTCTGTCAAGTGCAAAGTCCTCAGTTCAATTCCTGATACAGAAGGAAAAGAGACCTATTTACAAACTCAGAAATTCAAGAAATTCAGTGAACTCCAAGTAAATAAATATAAACAAAGAAATCACAGGAGGCCAATGTTTAAGATAGAATCCTAAAGAAGCCCCTCTCTTCCTGCCATAAATACATATAAAAGAATAAATACAAAAGTAAGAATTGACTTACTTTTTCTTCTTCTTCCTCCTCCTTCCCCTTCCTTTTCCTCTTCTTCTTCCTCCTCCCTCTTCTTCTTCCTCCTCCTCCTCCTCTTCTTCCTCCTTTTCCTCCTCTTCCTTTTTTTCCTCTGCTTCCTTCTCCTCCTCCTCTTCTTTTTTTTTGGCAGGACCTGCCTATGTAGCCCGGGCTGGCCTGGAGTTCACAGCAATTCTGCCTCAGCCTTCTGAGTGCTAGGATTATAAGAACGTGTCACCATGCCCAGCCTATAAGAACTAACAGAGGGCTGGGCCAGATAGCTCAGCAGGCTAAAGTACCTGCTTAGGAAGACACAGGGGCTGGTTTCAGCCCGCCAGATGCTATACCAGCCCGCCTCCATGGCGCGCTGAGATGGTGATTGAATCAGCCTAGTGGTGCATGCCTGTAATCCCAGCACTTGGGAGGCTAAACACAGGAGGATCACTATGATTCTGAACTGCACAGTGAGACCCTGAAGACCCTGTTCTAAATACATTTGTAAAAATGTGTAAACCTCAGCACAAAAAAGCAAAATTAAAGGCTGTTATTTATTTATTTATTTATTTATTTATTTATTTATCAGTTTTCTAAACAGGTTGGAACAAGAAGGAATGAGTCCAAACCATCTTATCTGAACCAGTTTGGTTTATTTTTATTTAATTTTACTTGTGATTAAAAGACACAAACTCATCTAAAGTTTTGGTGTATTATTTATATTGTTGTGTAGAAGATCTCTACAATGCTTTTCCCCTATAAAACCAAATGCAGTGGATTATTAACTGGCGGCCAACCTGTTACACCCAGCTGCATTGAACCAGCATAGTGCTGGGTGTGGGAGGCCCACCTGAGGACTGTTCCCGCAGCATAAGAGGCAGAGCGAGAGAAGTTGATGAGAGGCTGTTAGGGAAGGTGTCGGAGCTGTTGGGGAGCTGTTGGGAGCTGCTAGCTCTCCTGGACTGTTCTGCTGCAGGACCTTGTCATGCTGAATTTCCTGATGAACTTGGCCGTTATTGTCAGAGGAGGAGCTCGCAACCTGGTTGTCACTACAGTTCACTTTGGGGGAGCTCTGGTCCTTGTCTTGAGCATCGCTTCCTGGCTCCAGTGGGGAAGATGCTGCACAGCTCAGTGTCCTGGAGAAGTTTGTCATGCTGGCTTCCTGATGGGAACTCAGCTTTCCTCATCCTCGGGGGAGCTCGGGGCCTCACTGCTGCTGAGGAAGGCTGTGGTGCCTTTCGGGGAGCTCTGGTGCTTACCTTGAGTGTTGCTCCCTGGCTCCAGTTCACATCCCTCAGCCTGCTAGCACAGAGCCTTCATCCCGCTGGCATAGACTTCCCAGCTTCCACCACTGACCTTCGTGTCTTCCCAGCGTAGATCTGTGGAGTGGGCTTGCATGAGACATTCTTGTGGGCTCTGGGCCTCCAGCTGGACTGTGAGAGGCATTGTTATGGGCTCTGGGTTTTCAGCTGGACTCGTGCAGTATATTAGGATCCAGGCCCTCAACCGTAGTCTTTGATCTTTAGTGTGTGGACAGATTTCCTGAGCTCTGTATATGATTCTTGGGTGGTTATAAAATAATCTTAAAAAATAACCTTATAAAATGTGTCCTGTATTGTTCTCCTTGCAAAAACCCCAACCCATGACACCAAGATTCTCTCCCCTGAGCTCCCCATGTCTCCTTGCCCAGCCCCTGCCAGTTCCACCACACTATTTCTATGATCTGTTTCTTCAATTCTGGCTGCTTCAGATAACTCATATTAGTGAAACTATGCTGTGTTTGTCTTTTCTTATGCCTGGTTTATTTTAAATAGCTTAACAACATTAAAATTCATTCATGCTGAGCATGTCAAGAGTTTTCTTTCAAAGCTAAATGAGGGCTGGCCAAATAGCTCAGCAGATTAAAGCACTTATAAGCAGGCGCAGGGGCAGACAGCAATTGAGACTGGGCGTGGTGGCACGTGCCTGTAATCCCAGCACTTGGGAGGCTGTAAACAGGAGAATCACTGAGTCTGATCTAGTAGTAAGACCTTGAACGCTCTGTAGGCCCTTCCCTAAAATACAGAAACAAAAAAACAATAAAAAAACCAAAGCTGAATGATCTGCTGGGCACAGTGGTGCACACCGCAGTCCCAGCACTTGGGAGGCTGAGGCAGGAGGACTGTGGCAGGTTAGAGGGCAGCCTGGGCTACACACCTGAAATGCTTAGAGAGATCTAAAAAAAAAAGCTGAATAACATTTCATTATGTGTAAATGTGATCAAAGTACAGTACACACATTTTACAGTAAAAGATTATCTCCTTCCAAAGATTCCCCCTTGTTTCAAACAAGCTCATTCATGCTACTCTCTGAAACAGTGCTCGGCTGCCTAGATGTCCTGAATTGTTATGGTTTGTGCCTAGATGTCCCCCCCAAATTTCATGCGGTCATCAGGGTGGGGTTTTGGGAGGCAGCTGAATGCAGAGCACGTGCTGGGATGAAGGGTGAGGGATGAAGGCTGTGTGATTGGCTTGCCACGCCCTCAACGCAGCAGTCTGGATAAAGGGAGCAGAAAGAGGCTGATTTTGCCCTTTTCTCTTGCTGATTCCGCTGTCTTCCACCCCCACCCCCCTACAGCCAGCATGAACTGCTGTCACTCTGCCATGTGTCCCCCTGCCTTGGAGCCAGCTGATTATGAACTGTGAGCTAAATAAACCTTTCCCTTTTTAACTTTGGGCATCAGTTATTTTGTCTCAGCAATGATAGAAAAGTAAAACAGGAATCAATTCAAAATGTTTGCCTTTCATGGTCACCTTGGCTTTGAGGGAAGAGCCAGATCCTGGGAATAGGGGAAGACGCCTGCTATGTGCCCGTCTTACCACTGGGTGGCGCTCAGCAGCAGCCGCCACCAGATTTTTACCTCATCCTGTGAAGACACTGATGAACGAGAACATCCAGAACTGCTTCAGAAAGTGGCAAGAATGATGCAGTAAGTGTGTTTAAGGTGGAGTATTTTGCAGGGGCTTAATAACAATATTTTATAATAAATTTAAAAATAAGAATCTAAAACATCTAAACATTAACCATGTATTTTGAGTAGGTTGAATATATACCACATTTACTCACTCACAGATACTGGCTTGTTTCTTCTGGAAATAGTGAATAATGCTACAATGGCCATGAATTTATAATTTTTTAAAAATGTATTTGACATAGGGTCTTGCTATGCAGCTCGGACTAGTACCGATCCTCCTGTCTCAGCCTCCCCAGCGCAGGCATCCCAGGTGCGGACTGCCATGCCTGGTCTGGGTGGCTGGCCCAGCGCCCCCGGGGGCAGGGCCTGTGCAGCATGCGGGCCTCACGCTTGCCTAAGCAGGCGCTTAGTCCGCTGAGCTATCCTGCCGGCCCTGTATAATTATCTGAGATCCTACTTTCATTTTTTTTTTCCAGATATGTATCTTTGCCAACATCAACTTCCATTACCTCCTGTTTATTATTGTGTGGTGTTATTGTGGCTTCAATCTGTATTTCCCAAATTACTACTGATGTTCAGCACCTTTTTATATGCTGGTTGGCCAGAGCTAGTTTTTTAATTTTAGATTTATAAAAGGTGAGAGGTGGTAGCCCACCGTGGTATTAATTTACATTTACCTCATGACTAGTGTCTCACCAAATATTTTGCTAATTTTAAAATTACATTCTTACTGTATTTAGAGATGTTTTTCCTTATATATTCTAGATCTAGAGGCTGGGGAGATAGCTCAGTGGCATAAATGCCTGCCTGGCAAGCAGCACAAGGTCCTGAGATGAGTTCAATCCCTGGTACAAGGGAAATTACACATATATATATATATATATATATATTTTCAAATTCTGTAGTAGAGATGTGATTTGCAAATATTTTCTCCCAGTTTGTGGCTTGCTTCAGTCTTTAACCATATTTTTTGAAGAGCAAAAGTTCATAATTTTCATTAAATCCAATTTATTGGGCCAGGGATATAGCTCAGTGGCACAAGTGCCTGCCTGGCAAGCACAAGGTCCTGAGTTCAATTCCTAGTACAAAAAAAGAAAAATCCAATTTATTGTTTTTTGCCCTTGTAAAAATATTTTTATTTTTATTTGCCTAAGACCAAATTGCAAAGATTTTCTTGATTACCTCCAGAAGTCTTATAGTTTTAGGTTTCACAAATATATCTATAATTATTTGCATTAGTTTCCAAGTGATGTGATGTACACTGTTTTTGTGTCACTGAATAAAATATCCTCCCCAAACAAGAAAAGAAAAACAGAATACAAATACCCTATTGTTCTGGCCACGTATAGTAAACACATTAAACAAGATCTGGCTAAGTCCTCAAGTTGCCCAGGGTTGTGAGTCTCCTGCCTCAGCCTCCCGAAGTGTTGGGATTATAAGTGTGTGGCACCATACCTGGCTTCAAAAGGTATTTGCTTGTTTTGGGTTCCCAAGTTTTACTCAAGAACTCCCCCTCAGCCCTCCCTCCTCAGCCCTTCCCCACCCCCTGCCCCAGGACAGTAGAAATCTGATGAGTATAGGACACAAGGAGGATGACATTTTTAATGCAATTTATTTGAAATGCTTCCAGAAAAGTTTAAGGCCATTATACAAAAACATTCATTCCATCGAAACATTCAATGGCTCCCTTTCCACAGGCCAGCACTTGACAAACCTTTTTTCTTGATATATTGGCCAAAGTGGCCCATGTTTCTTCAAAGAACGAGTGAGTCACTCATTTTCCATCTTTGAAGAGCTTTTCTAAGCTTTTCTCTGCCGTCTGCAGCAGGTCCATTCATTCGCAAAATCAGAACAACTTGAGAAACAAAGTAGTTTTAAATAAACTTGTAATAGAAAAAATTCACCATGTTTAAAATCTATAAATATGTTTTACAGGGTAAAGCTGACCATATTTTTGCTTTCGAAAAATAATAACGTAATATACCTTGTTTTTATATCATTAACTCTTGTTATACAGCTTCTTTGAATGCGTATGACCTATGTACACAATAAAATGACAATATTGTATTTGCTGCTTTCTTTTCTGTAAACTTGAAGGACACAGAAAATTAAATTTTTTTTGGCAATAATTTAGAATTACTACTAGTGCTGGTGTGGGTCTAAGTTTGCACAGGTTATTCTAAATATTTACAATCACAGGGAGTTTTCCTGTGGTTTTTTGTTGTTGTTGTTGTTTTGTTTTTTTGTTTTTAAAGGTCTGCAAGCCACCCTGCTCTGTAAATCAAGGCTGGACAAGGAGGTTACAAGTTTGTCTAGCTGATCCTAATTAATCAGTTGACGAAACTGGCCTCTGGAAAATGTCATTATGATTTTGATGATGACGCAGAACCAGAGATGCTAATGGATGACCCAACATCAGAGCAGAAAATCCTCAGACTGCGGCTTTTCTCAAGGCTCTGGCCATGTTCCCTTGCTTTTATCTTGTAACGGTTCTCAAAGACAATCCCAAGGAAGCACTTCTCCCAGGTCTTCTTCTCGTGTGCTCTGTACTCAGTCATAGGTCTGGTCACCGTCACTCTCCCTACCGCTTCCTCACAGAAGTGGCCTGCAAAGGTGAAACCCAACGAAGGCAGGGCTTGCTCGTGATCCTGGGAGGCTGGCCCAGTCCCTTCAGGTTCTAGTTTACTATCTTAGGCTGCTGATGGCTCTCGCTGGCAGGCTACTAACTATGATGACCGCCTCTCAGAGCCATGCGCATTTCCGTTAAAGATGCAGAGGGGGCGGCTGCCTTTGTCGTGGCTCTTCCAAGGTCAGCCTCTGTTTCATGTCCTCACCGATGACTGCATCATCAAGCTTGCACTGGATGAAACTGCAAGCTCCAAGAAACCCTTCCTCCTTTGCCAGTTAGGCCTTCAGAATCCCCAGGGATGTTTTTATGCCTTCTGGTGGAAGAACACAAAACCAAGCTTTCACGTCAAGTGTTGGATTTTCCCAGTTCTCCCTCAAACACCATCCCAAACTCTTATTTGGAAAGCTCTCTGGGTTCCATGCCTTTGGCCGCCACATCAAAGGGCTACAAAAGCACTAGAGGCAGGGGAGGAAGAACTCTTCAAGCAATCTACACAAAACAGTAGTTTAGATTTTCTATTTTTAAAAATCCAGCAGGACAATTGGAAGTACCTCTCCATCCATCCAGACATTTATTAGACACAGTGCAGGGTAACGGCTGCCACGTTCCTGCTGGCACAGATCGATCAGCAGTTACAGTACTAGAGACAAAGGTACAGACACAAGAGAACGGGCCAACATGGTCACAAACATATTAAAAAGTGCTTCTCCAAACCGTTGCATGTGTGGAATGCAAATACTGTACAGGTAAGACACAGGGCTGCTTCCACGAGGGCCACACCCTTCAGTCAGACACTGCTTTCCACATGCCTGCTGTTGCCACAGGAGGAGTCTGTCTGTTCCATCCGCTCGCAGTCCAGGCTGACCTCACTTGTGTCCATGCTGCAGTCCGACTCACTGTCCGATTGGTCCATCTGCTCAAGTTTTGTTTCTCCCTGCGGCTCCTGGCTCCTGCTGGCGGGACTTAGGAACGGTCCCTCGGTGTCAGGCACCCCTGCCTGCCCGGCGACACACACAGCTGTTTCTTTGGCTTGACGAATACAGTTGAGCCACTGCTGTTTGTTGAAGGTGTCATTAGCTTGCAATGAGTGAGTCTGACTTTGGGATCCATTTTTGAAACTGACCCTGAAGAAGTTTTTAACTAGAAATGACAGGGATGTAAAAAAAAAAAAAAAAAAAAAAAAAAAATTAATAATACTCCATGGTAGGTATTTCCCCAGGCCAAAAATAAACATGTAGTGACATTAACCCCAGTACCCATGGTACCTGTCGCCAATTAGAGAGCATTTCCCACTGATTCGGGACACAGCTCAGCCCTCTCTGAGACCACCATCAATCAGCTAGAGGTGACACAGGCCTGGCTTCTGGTCACCCTCATTACTCTCAGAAGGAAGCAAATGGATGGCAGCTTGGGAAAGCTTAAATTTTGTGTTTCAGGGGATCCCAGAATCCTCGTGACCAAACGTATCTGAATATCAGAATCCTTTGGATAGCTTGTCAAAAATACAAAGCCTTGGGCCCTATTCTTAAGAGATCCTGATTCAATAGGTCTAAAAGTAGTCCTGATAATCTGTAATTTCAACACATGTCCAAGGTAAATTGTTTTCCAGTGTAAGAATTCCTTGTAACATCAAAACATGCCATGATCTTCCACATGAGAGTATCTCAACAGAAGTACAATGCATACCCTGCAAAACTCTCTTTCAAGTATAATGGAGAAGTGAAACACTTCCATAACAAAAAACAACTAAAGAATTTCATGATGATAAAGCCAAGCCTACACAGACTACTAAATGATGTTCTAGAGAGGGAGCAAATTGATCATAGGCCCATGAATGAGAATGGAAAGAACTCACCAAATAGGGCAAACAATTAAACACAGGAGAATAAGAGGTATACAATAGAAAAAAAAAAAAAAAAAAAAAAAAGAAGAAGAGGAAGTACAATGCATTTAAAAAACATTAGTGCACAATATGGAAGACTTTGGATCCTATCTAATAACATTAAGTGGTATTTTCGGTGGGCTCTGGGTGCCACCTAAAAGGCTTGGTTCCCAAAAGCACCCATGGTCAGTCCTTATGCACTGCAGCTGTCGCCAATGAACTGGAAAGTGCTACTTCAGATGGCTTAGCAGCCAAGCAGCAAAGGCAGAAGAGGACCCCATGTTTCACCGCTACACGACTGTGGCTAGGAGCTAATCCTACTTCCTTAAAGTCAAGCTCTACTCCTTGGTCTTGGGTGAACACCTTAACTCAGCGATGGCAAGCTTTTCAGAGCTTCCAGTGATTACAGTATGCTGCGGTACCAGCGTCAGAGTTTCACCACCGCTGCATAACTCTTCTACGTCTGTTTCCTTATCTACAAAATGGAGGACACATCAACAATCTCTTATATTAAGGGCCAGTCAGACAGCTCAGTGGATTAAAGCGCCTGCTTAGGTGGACTCAGTGGTGGGGTTCAATCCCGGGTGTGAATTCCAGCCCTGAGCCGGGGCATGCTGAGACTTGATTGAGACTGGGCATAGTGGCGTGTGCCTGTAATCCCAGAGCTTGGGAGGCTGAAAACAGGAGGATCACTACAAGTCCGATCTGTTTAGTGAGACCCTGTAGACCCTGTACTAAAATACAAACAAAACAAAAAAACAACCTCTTATATAAGGTTGTTATGGGGAATAAACATGATGCTACCTCTACATGTTTAGACCATGTATGGCACACAGTAATCAAGAAATAAAAGCTTTTATTTGTACTACTGCTACTCCCACAGTGGTGTTAGGGATGGGGGATAAGCAAGAAAGAGGCAATACTTTGATAATGTGATGCCTGAGCTAATCTGGAAGATTTGGGGTTTTTTTTGGTGGAACCAGGGATTGAACTCATGCCCTTGGGCTTGCCAGAGAAGTGCTTATTCTACTGAGCCATCTCCCCAGCCCCCTTAATTTGGAAGATTCAAATGTTAAGTTCTCGAAGACTTCCTTGATGATGTCATTTAAAACAGATCCCGTTCTATACATTTCCATCTTGTTTCTTGTTTTAGTTTTCTACCCAGCACCAGGAAGATGTATCACTTATCTCTATGACAGTGTAAACTTCACAGAGGCAGGGAATTTAACTGCTTGGCTCACTACTGTGCACTGGTGTCTGTAACAGTGGTTGGCACACGGAAGATATTTGATAGACAGTGCTACCTTAGCGTCTCCTAATTCCTTTAATGATTCACAAGTTAGAGAAGCACACTGAGTAAATTATGGATAAATACTCATTGTAGCTGACCACACTGAGTCATTTATGGATAAACACTCATTACACTTGACTACTTTTGAGCTGCTTTTTTTCTTTTATGTATTTGGTACAGGGTCTCATTATGCAGATTGAACTCATAGTGATCCTCCTGTTTCAGTCTCCCCAGCACTGGGATTACAGACGTGTGCCATGGGTGGGGCCAGCGCTGCATGTGATGCCAGGGATTGAACTCCAGTCCCTGCACTTGCTTAAGCAGGCACTTACCCCACTGAACTATCTCACCAGCCCTTCTTTATTTATTTTTTAATTCGGAATTGAACTCATGACTTCCTGCTTGCCAAGCAGGTGCTATGCCACTAAGCTTTTTCCCCAGCACTTAAGCCTCTTTTTTTTTTTTTTTTTTTTTTTTTAACTTTTGGTCTTTTTGAGACAGGATCTGCTTATGCAGTTCAGGCTGGCCTTGAATTCACTTTGTAGCCCATGCAGGTCTCAAACTTGCTAGGATCCTCCTGCCTCATCTTCTCTCTCCCAAGTGCTTGGATTACACACATGTGTACCACCAAACCCAGCTTAAGCCTCTTTAGAGATGAGCCAACCAGCAAGTACAAGACCTATCATTATGCAACCAGTAGCCCCATCAGGACTCTGATATTAAACACTTTTACCTGACAGCAGAAGTCAGAAGCCATGCACTAGCGGTTTACTTCCACTATGTTAATCCTTAAAGCAACCTCACAAAGGAGGTAGCTCTGTATCCCCGGGACAGATGGCAAAGCGACGCTCCTAGAGGCTGAAGATCACACGATCCCCAAAAGCACAGGCAGCCCTGGACACACGAGACTCTACGGCTCCACTCTTTTCTTTGCCCTTGTCAACTGCTCCCTCCAAACAACATGGCCAGAACCCTTCAACAGCTGCACCCGGACCACCGCCATACATACTTCTCTCATTGTTGCTGAAGGCCCCTCGCAGGGAGCCGCCCAGCCTCACTTCTCCATCTTGCAGATCTTCCAGCAGCAGGTCCTTCACGGGAATCGGCTGCCGGTACAACTGATAGCACAGTTGCTCGTTGTGGGTGACAGCTCGAGTAATCACAAGCACTTCTTGGAACAGGAAAACGTGTAGTTTCTGGAAGAAAAGAGCCCCCAAGATTTCCCTCAGCCAACATCTAGCATGCCATTGCTTTGTGGACCTCTGTGGCAACAAGTCCTCAGGTTCCCAGTGACCTGTAAACTCTTCCACGCAAATCTAGCTCCAGGAGCACAGAAATTGTGTAGACCCAAAGGATTTCCAGAGATGCCTATCACTGCCTTTTCCATAGGTACTTCCCTGGTGGTCCACTGGAGAAAAGCACAATGCATGCACATTTCTTCTGATTCCACATGCAAATCACTTGGTGAATTAAATGAATTTTTAACTCTCATATACTTCAAATCTTTTTTTTTTTTTTTTTTTTTTTTTTTTGTGCAGAACTAGGGATTGAACTCAGGCCCTTGCACTTGCCAGGGAAGCGCTTATTCTACTTAGCCATCTCCCCAGCCCCCACATTCTTCAAATCTATCCTCCCTCCATGCAAGCACATGTTCGTCAAGTGCTCAGTATGCGCGAAGTTCTGGGAATTGACATAGTGCTGTCCCCACTCTAAAAGACCATGGTATCGTGGGAGACACTGACAGATGGAGAATCACGACCCACTCTAATAAGTGCTCCTGGGGACACCTGCACAAATGTTATTATAAAAGGGGGTTTGTGGGTTAGCTCAGTTATTTCAAGCTCCTGCTTGTGCAAACTCAGACAGGCGCAGGGGACCGAGGTTCGATCCCCAGCTCCACAAGCTGTACCAGAACTGTCCTTAAGGCAGCCTGAGCCAGCAAAAAAAAAAAAAAAAAATCCTTTTCAAGATGTTATGATAGGGCCAGGGAGATAACGCAGTAGAATAAGCGCTTGCCTGCAAGTGCAAGGTCCTGAGTTCAATCCCCAGTACAGCCAAAAAAAAAAAAAAGGAAAGATGTTATGATAATGGAAGAGGATTAACTTCAACAGGCAGTCAGAAAGAGAAGCTAGGGGGAGTATTTACAGGTCACATTGAAATGTAAAGCCAATGGAAGGTAAATAAGAACCAAAACCCCTCAAAAAATCCCAAAATACAAAAACCAAACAAAGCCCTGATCTCAAAATGCCAGCCTTTGGAAGGGTGCCAACACCTGACAAAGAAAACTTTCTCATAGAATTAAATGCATTTGAGCTACGTTTTTTGGATATTAATATCAAAATAAGCTGGGTATGGTGGCACATGCCTGTAATCACAGCACGGGGAGGCTGAGGCAACAAGATCATTGTGAATTTAAGGTGAGCCTGGGCTACAAAGTGAGTTCAAGGCCAGCCTGAACTGCATAGTGTGACCCTGTCTCAAAAAAAAAAAAAAAGACTAAATAAATAAGTGTGGTTTTTTGTTTTGTTTTGTTTTGTTTTGTTTTTGCAGAACCGGGGATTGAACTCAGGCCCTCGCTCTTGCCAGGGAAGCACTTATTCCACTGAGCCATCTCCCTGGCCCTAAGTTTTTTTGATATTAAATCCTTTTAACAGCCTCCATCCATTTCATTTTTCTGTTTTTGAGGCACAGTTTCACAACTCAGTTCAAGCTGACTTTGAAGTCACTAGGTGGCCCAGGCTTGCCGTGAACTTGGGCAAGAGTTCCTGCCTCAGCCTCCTAAGTGCTGGGATTACTGGTGTGCATCTCCACGCCCTGCCAAATCACTCATCCATTTTCTGAGATCAAAGTAGGAGATGTGGACAGAGCCAGTAGCACATGCTTATAGTCTCAGCTCGCCAGGGCGCTAATGCTGAGGCAGCAGATCGCTTCAGCCCAGGATTTCAACGTCAGCCTGGGCAACTTAGTGAGATTCTGTCCATGAAAAAAAAAAAGATGTTAACTGCTCTGTATTTGGTGAAGGCTGTGATCAAAAAAGATAAAAAGCTTGGCACACCTACGTTCATCTCCAAAATTCCTCCTGAATAGACACATACGGGGTCATGATATCCATCCATCCAACCATCACATGGAATGGAAAAAGCACTTTGGTTTATAAGAACATAACTCTAGATAGGGAAACAAATCTAAGGCGGGTGCAGAGCAAATGGATTCCGAGTCAGAAGGCCCTAGCTGACGGCGCTGAGCATAGAAACCACTCACCACACCGCGGTTGTTCTTCAGTTCGCCGTGACAACACAGGACTCGAGAACTGTCAATCAAGGAGTCCTTCTGGCCTTCTTCCAAGTACAGAAGCCGCTCTTTATAATAACGACATTCGGATTCGCCAGTCTTGGTGTTGATTTCTGCCACAATTCCCTGAATGATGTTTATCTATGGAAAGAAAGAGAGATCTAAGTGTGCAGAAAGTAGTCAAACCATCAACGCCAACAAGCCGTAGGGCCAACCTAGAAGTTACCAAGACACATTTGGATCTGAGATTCTGGTATCTTAAGTTGCTTCCTTGAGAAAAGGGAAAGAATGTGTCTAGTATATTGTTACTATATACATTCACTTATGCATTAAATACATACACATACATATTTACACACATGTACAGATACTTGAACTACACATAAAACTAACATTGATATGTAATTTTATCTGAGAAGAGATACTTGGTAGTCTTTTAAAAAATTTAATCGGGGTGAGCTGGGAGATAGCTCAGTAGAATAAGTGCTTGCCTGGCAAGTGCAGGGTCCTGAGTTCAATCCCTGGTACCACACACACACACACACACACACACACACACACAAAATATATTAATTATTAATTGGGAAGACTGCTTGGCAGTCTGAGTGTCTGCCTGACAAATGCAAGGACCTGGGTTTGATCCCCAGGCCCACATGCCGTGCTGGCCCTGAACCGAACCAGCCATGGACACCAGGTGTGGTGTTATCCCAGCACTGGGGAGGCTGAGACGGGGGAATCCTACGAGTCTGAGCTGCATGGCAAGACCCTGTACCAAATACATAAATAAATAAAGGCCAGCAAGATAGCAGACTAAGCACCTGCTTAGGCAAGTGTAGGGAATGGGGTCCAATCCCCTTGCATCACATGCTGCACCGGCCCTGCCCCTGGGCACGCTGAGCTGGCTACCAAGTCTGGGCATGGTGGTACACACCTGTAATCTCAGCACTGGGGAGGCTGAAAATAGCTGAGTAGTGAGACTCTATGCCAAATATGTAAATTAAATACATGATTAAAAAAAAATAGAAATTTAAAAAATTGAGTAAAATTGACAAGATCATATATATTTAAGATTTACGTTTTGAGATACATATGTTGTGAAATGATTACTATAACTGAGCTAATTAATGTATCCATCACTTTACATCCTCAGCATTAATTCTTAATTCTCTCCCTTTAGAGAAAATTGTGTAATAGCATAAGCCAAAACCAAAAGGAAAATATGCATGGCACTTCACTCTTCAAGACGGATTACAACAGTTACACCATTCTAGATGATTCCTTTTTTTTTTAAAAGATGATTTCTTGATTTATCTATATGTACATGTATTTTTTTTTTAAATTGGGCTGGGTGATACAGCTCAGTGGCACAGCACCTGCCAGTAAGTGTAAGGTCCTGAGTTTGATTCCCTGTACCAAAAATAAATAAATAAAAATTTAGAAAGTGATAATGCCATGTGTACTGTTTTGTAACCTGCTGTTTCTCTCTCTCTCTCTCTCTCTCTCTCTCTCTCTCTCTCTCTCTCTCTCTCTCTGTATTTAGTACAGGGTCTACCGGGTCTCATTACACAGACCAGACTCAGTGATCCTCCTGCTTTCAGCCTCCCAAGTGCTGGGATTACAGGCACAAGTCTCCACGCCCAGTCTCAATCGCTGTCTCAGCGCACCTGCAGGCAGGGCCGGCACACAGGGGATTGAACCCAACTCTAGCAGCTGCTTTAGTCGGCTGAGCTATCTGGCCGGCCCCTGTTTCCCTTAATGGAGTGGATACTTTTGTACTTCAATACATGATGTTAGCTTTTTCACATAATAACTTTTCCTAACCTCTGTGTCACCCTCACTTATACTCCTTCACTCCCCTTATTCCTCCCCTTTTATCTAATAACGGCCTCCCCTCTACCGGCATTTTTAGATTTTGCATATTAGGGAGAACACGTTCCACTTGTCTGAGTCTGGCTTATTTCATTTAATGCGATGACCTCTAGATCCACGCATTTCCCAGCAAATGATATACTTTAGTTCTTCAATACTGTTGAATGATTCTCTAATACTCCATGGTGTACAGTAGTCCCTTGCTATTTTGCAGTTCGACTTTCGTGGACTCACTGTTGTGCGGGTATTCAAAAATATTAATCTAAATTACTTATTGCCAAATTCCTATGTTGTTACAATTACATAGGTTTATGAGTTTAGAAAATGGTTAAGAACATTAGGAGTGTTTTTAAAGGTGCGAGAAAGGTAAGAGTGTGAGAAGTTTTTATAAAACATTAAAATATATATGAATACTAAAATATAACATTGCTACTTTGCTGATTTTCACTTATCGCAGGGCCATCTGGAACGTAACCTCCGCGATACGTGTGGGGACCACTGGATACACTGGTGGAATTTTCTTTTTTTCGCCCGTTGATGAGCACCTAGGCTGACCTGTGCTGCCAGGAACGCGAGGTGTGCTGGTACCCCTCTAGTAGCTGACTAATTCTTCTGGTTATAGAGCAATGAGGGAGATACTGAGTGATGATAGTTCTCTTTTTAGCTTTTCACTGTTTTTGTTTTGTACAGAACTGAACTCAGGACCTCCCCAGCCCTATTGTTAGCTGCTTGGGGATCTTCCAACTACTTTCTATAGTGGCTACAGCAATTCACACTCCCGCCAGCAGTGTACAGTAGTCCTTTCCCCCTGCACGCTTGTGAGTACTGCTATTTGCATTCATGACGATAACCATTCTCACTGGAGTGAGGTGAACTTTCAAGGTCGTTTTAATTCTCACTTCCCTAATGCTAAAGATGTGGAAGATCTTTTCATATACTTAATAGCCATTTGTACTTCTTTTGAGAATTGTCTGTTCAGGAATTTGCTTATTTATTGATTGTGTGTGTGTGTGTGTGTGTGTGTGTGTTCTGAGTTCTTTATAGATTCTAGATCATAATCCTGTGCTGGGAGAAGAGCTGACAAAGATTTTCTTCCATTTTGTCAGCTGTTTCTTGACCTTATTTGTTGTTCACCTTGCTGTGCAAAGACTCTGAAATTTGGTATCGTCCTAATCATTGATCTGTGCTATTATTTCCAGGGTTGAGTCCCATCAGGAAGTCTTGGCTATGCCTCAGCCTTCAAGCGTCTCCCCTCCACTTTCTGTACTTTCTGGTTATACACCTTTTCCTTTGGGCAGAGTGGGGTCTTCGTTATCTTTGACTTCAAAGATAACTCCACTATTATACCGCACGTGTGCATCTCTTAAAACCTGCTCAGTGTTGAAACTTGAGGCACAGAAAAAAATGGTGTCAAGGACGAGAAAACAAAGCAGAATGCAGCAGTCCAAGAACTAAGATTGTCCCAAGAACTCTTGTCTGTCAGACTAAGTAGGTCAGTTCAAAGACAGGAGGGTGGGTTCTTACCGCCAGAAAGCTTAAACATACGGGAGGTGTCTCAGCAAGTGCTTTATGTCTACCTTACCCTTTTACTTGTCTTTCTTTTTAATACCTACTGAAATCTGAATTTTTTCCTGCTTTTAAAGCCCTTAGGATTAAAAGCTGTGGCTTATCGGCAAACTGTGACTAGGTACACCTGGGCAGCTGGACTACATCAGCACCGCAGACAGTTTTCTGGGCCTCCTTCTAGTATCCTGGAAACCAGTGAGAGGATATGCCACAGGCACAAGGATGTGTTCATGGCCCGATTTAACTCCAGGCCTGAACAGCTGGTGCAGCACATGAAGATTTATAAATTCAAATGCTACACACGTTTCCTTAGGCAGCCACGACTACTTTCAAATATTGCTTCTTTCTTTGATATTTGAAACAATACAGAGGAAAACAATGGAAATAATCTGTGTTATTATCCCATAGTTTACATATGCATTTGTTATAGTAATTCTGGGCCTGCTTTCACTTATTTATTTATTTTTATGTACTTAGGACAGGGTCTATAGGGTCTCACTACACAGATAACTCTCATAGTGATCCTCCTGTTTTCAGCCTCTAAGCACTGGGATTACAGGCGCGCACCATCATGCCCAGTCTCTCATTTATTAAAAATAATGTTTTGCATTTATGTCTACCTGAACATCATGAGGTCAGGATGTCAAGGGGAGTCACGCACCTACACACAACAGGCTTCCAGTAATAAACGATGGTAGTTGTGCACTTAAATTTACTGTGGCGTGTCTCACCAACTGTAAAAGGAGATGGTGAGAAACACAACAGTACAGGGTGTAGGCCCACACATGCTGGAACCACCATCTTCGAAGTGCTATCTGAAAGCCTTGTCCCTCTGGTCCCTCGTGCCAATGTCATACACTTAACAGCTCCCGACAGGAACCAAGAATAAATACCTTCATAGTTATGGTATCAAAAGTAGGACTGTTTTTCTCATTTATTTCATCAAGTACTTTTGCCAAGGGGTTGGAAAACAGTGGTGGGTAGGGAGAAGGAATGGTATACAGGGTCATTTTCTGGATGGAACACTCTTAGAAAGTACAACATTAAGCAATCAATTCTCTGGAATATTTGAATATCCAAAGTTCTATTTTTTTAACATGGGGAAAATTACTACCACCTCTCAAAACACTACTGTTGAGAAATTCCAGCAATAGTGAAGTAGTTTATGCATTAAGGACCTTTCTTTTGATCTAATCACAGGACTGAATGTAATCAACTATTTTGGCATGGAAGCGATCTGCTCAGCACTCCGATTTTCTCCTCTGCATAGATGGGATATTTGTTTAGAGAATGTACGTAAGTCAAGCTCCACTGAATTATGAGTTTTATGTTTAGTGAACATTCACAACACATCCAAGAGTTTAGAGCTAAATAATGTTCATCCGGGGTAATGCTACAAGGCTTTTGAAAAGAACAAGAAGGAAAAAAGAAACCTCCATCTACCTGAGTAAACAGGCATTTAGAAGACTTGTTTTCCAGACATTTTAAAATGCAAGTATATTGTGCTATATGTACAGATCTGCTTGAATAATCAGGTGCCAAGGAGCGGCTTCACACCTCATGCACAGCGGAGACTGGTAACTCGCACACCCTTTCATACCGCAAACAATAGCATTTTTTTCAACAATAATATTTCTATCTGTTTTTAGATTCACCTTTCACTCACTGGGTGTGTTTCTTTAAAAACAGAAGAGTATTCTTTTATTCTGTTTATTTAAAAGAAGCAGGCTTTATACTGAAGTCTGCCCAGGCTCACGTGTTTCCCAAAAGTCATTATTTAGAGCAGCCGGAGCTCCCCATTGTTGTTTCTGTAGCTCACACATTCGTGGGGATGAAATACGTAGAGGAGGCAACTCGATCGTGCTCTCCCCAGCCATGAAAACAGACACGACATGCGGGGACAGCCTCATCCTCAGGCTGACTCCCTCCACCTCTGCTGGACCAGGGACCTGGTCTGTGTGTGCCGGGCCTGCCAGACGCCCCCAACACCTCAGGAATCAGGAAAACTCATCCCTCACTCTTCTCTCCTACGGGGAGGCACCCAGCCCAGCTCTGCACGGTGGTGCCTCACCACAAAGCCTGTCTGGTGACCACACAGCTCGCGGCAATGCCAAAGGCGAGAGGAGTTCCAGGGAATGGCCAGCCCCCTGCATCGATGTACAAGGTTAGAAGGCAGGAGAAAGGCTTAGGATCTGAAGTCCATCTAGACATGATGTGAATACTAACCTTATCGCTTCCTGGCACTAAGCTTGGATAATCTATTTAATTGCTCTAAACCTCATGTAAGAAAAGACCCTAATAAGAAAGCTATCTCATAGGTGGTTATGAGAGGGGTTTTTTGGTTGTCTTTTTTGAGACAGGGTCTCACTATGCAGTTTAGGCTGGCCTTGAGCTCACTTTGTAGCCCAGGCTAGTCTCAGACTTAATGACGATCCTCCTGCCTCGGCCTTCTGAGTGCTCAGATTATAGGTGTGCACCACCACATCTGGCTAATAGGTGGTTATGAGTGTTAGCATCAATATATAATCTATAAGCAATTACATAAAATTGCTTTATTGGTACCATTAAATGCCATTAATAGTAATTATTGCTGCTGCTGCTGCTGGTGATAGTACTACTTGCTATTATTAAACCTTGCTCTAGAAGGAGACAAGTAGTTTGCTGAGCAGGTTCAAGGCTTTTGACTTTTAAATTATCTGTGCATGTCCTCCTATTTGTTTTTTTCTTTTTTAAAAAATGTATTTGGTACAGGGTCTCACTACGAAGCTCAGACTTACAACGATCCTCCTGTTTTCAGTCTCCCCCAGTGCTGGAATTACAGGCGTGCACCACCACGCCTGGTCTCAGTGGCTAGTTCGGTGCACCTGGCGATGGGGACAGTGTGGCACATCGTGCTAGAGATTGAACCTTGGTCCCTGTGCTTGCCTAAGCAGGTGCTTAGTCCACTGAGCTATCTCACTGGCCCTACGTCCTCCTGGTTCTGCACCAGATTAAATCAGGGAATTGGTTGTTACCCTCTAACTGCACCCCCATCAGGTTTCCATGCCTTCACACCTGGACCACTACACCATCCTTCCTTCTGTGCCCAGGTCCCATCCTGCTCAGGGCCCTGCTGTACAGAGAGCAATGTGTCCAGAGTGACACAGCTTCTAAGTGATAGAGCTGATCCCAACTCTCCAGAAAATAAACCTCCAACTAATTACACAACTCAGGAAAATTCCACAAATTGATACTTAAAATCTTCCAGAGCCAGGCTGAACCCACATTTTTTGTCTATCTACAGAGTATCCTCAGCCCCATGCAGGTGACTCTTGCTGCTCTCCAGGTGTGACGTGCCTTGTCATTTCTTCCTATCTGCGCTTAGGCCACTGCTCTCTGCCGGCCTCCCATCTCTCTGCCTCCACGGAGGGCACCTCAGTCACACGGACTGGAGGAAAGCGCACTGTCGGCTGCAGCATTCTGGGGTGACAGACTATTTTCCCTTGCCTTCTACTGCTGCAAGGGAAGAATCTGTATTTCCCACATCACCTGGCCCATATCCAACAGACGCTGCTGAACGAGGACTCAGCAGCGAGCAGAAGACCGGACAAGGTACAGCCCTGCAATTAGAGGAAAGGGACTAAATCCTAGATGGACAGATGTTGCCTTCACCAATGGGCTTTGGGACTAAGCTCCAGGGCAACTCCCATATTCTTTTTTTTTTTTTTTTTTTTCAGAACCAGAGATTGAACTCAGGCCCTTGTGCTTGCCAGGGAAGCACTTATTCTACTGAGCCTTCTCCCTGGCCCCAACTCCCACATTCTTAATCAGGTTTTCAATTTAAGCTCCCCACCAAGATTTTTAACACAGTCAGCAACTGTAACTAGAGTCACCTATGCAATACCAAACAATTTTAGACTCAAAGGAATCTGAACATGCATTTCATGCAAACTGTGTTTTATAAATTAGAAAAGTGCATCAGAGAGATGACAAGGGACTTTCAAAATCAAAAAAAGGTTGAGTTGTATTAGGCTTAGAACTTGGGCTGGGGTTGGTGCTTGTGTTAGGCCTAGGTTGCCCATACACATGGGCCCTTCAACTGCCCCACTGACCTGATCGATTAGCTGTTATATGAGAAATAACAAAGGAAGAAAGAAACAAGCATGCTTACTGCTTCTTCCAGGTGCTGCTGGTCTGGATTGTCATTTGGTGTGTGCCTCAGGATTTCTCGGAGAAGTAGAGGGTATTTCACCAGCCGGCTTCTGGGGATATCAAGAAAGTTCCAGAGATCTAGTTTGCGGCTAAAGGGGGATTCCAAGCAGCGCTGAAGGAAATCTTGAACCCGATGATCTTGCTTTTTGTGGTCCAGGAGGGCTTTGGCAGCCACCTGATTACTGCAGTAACTGTCATAAGAGCTGAGACAAGGTAGCTGAGAGGGAAACAGAAAAGGAAGGTTGAGTGCCGGCATCACTGAGCTCCACAGCTCCACGCTAGTGTCAACGCGCCATGAGGAATGAATGGGCCCCAAAGTGCTCCCCAGGCCTGTCCAACATGCCTTTGTGCTCAAGGCTAGAAGGAGCTCGTGCAATCTTTGAGCTTGCAGGCAATGGACAGGTTCCCTGGGCTCTGGCTTGCTTTCACAAAGTAATTTTCATATTTTCATGTTTACTTTCTTGATTATTAAGCCCACTATGACAATGATGATTGCATATTCTGCCAATTTAACCTAGCAACAAATGAACTGGAATTGCCATGTAAATACACAGTTCAGAATTTTTCTAGCCCTTCCAAAAGTACCCAGTATGGCAAAAGCCACCTTAAAACAAAACAACAATTTATTTAAAAGTTACTCATAAGAACTCATGTAGAAGACTTCAGCAGCACTTACAAAAAGCAAGTCCTCAGGCTCCTAAACCCCATCCTTTGTGCAAGCACCGCTACCTTAGTTTATGATTACTTGAGTCTAAGGAGATCAGTTTATAAGGAAGCTAGACCAAAAATAGGATTCATAAAAGAATCAGATGCAGAAAACATCTAAAAAAATCTTTTAAATTAGTTCTCACAGGTCAGGAGAGATTTGTAGCTATACTGTAGGGTTCAAATCACAGTACCATGCATAGAACAATTTAAAGACTTCAGAACATTTTAGCTCCACTGTTTTCATTCCAGGAAAAACACTGGTTTCCCTGACTGTCTCACCAGCCACGCGATGCAAACACTGCACCAGAGATTCAACAGAAAGAGCTTCCTGTCCTCCTCCATTCTTCTTCCTCCCTCCTCATGGCACCTGACTCCGAAGCACTCTAATGCAGAGAGTTATCAGAGACAACAAAATATCTGTTCTACTGTGAAACAGTGACGTGAAGGCAATTCTCATTTCTACAACCTTAGTGCTTTGCTCTGTGCCTATTATATAGTGGACATGTTTTTATTCAAGGTGGACAATGAATGCTTAATGAGCTGTAAGATTAGGTAATACTGCTTAAAAATAAAGTATGAGGAGGGCTGTGCTGGGGAGATAGCTCAGTGGAATAAGTGCTTGCCTGGCAAGCACAAGGGCCTGAGTTCAATCCCCAGTTCCACTAAATAAATACATAAATAAATAAATAAATAAATAAATATGGGGGCGGGGAGCTAGAGGGGTGGGAGGGATAAAATAAAGTATGGGATCCGTGGGCCTGCCTGCAGGCCCTGTCCCGGGGCTTGTTGAGACAGAAATTGAGACTAGGTGTGGTGGCACATGCCTGTAATCTCAGCTCTTGGGAGGCTATAAACAGGTGGATCATTATGAGTCTGATCTAGTAGTGAGGCCATGAACACCCTGTAGACCCTTCCCTAAAATACAAAAAAAAAAAAAAAAAAAAAAAAGGTATGGCAGCTGGGTGTAGCTGCACACGCCTATAATTCCAGCACTCAGAGGCTGAGGCAGAAGGACTGCTGTGTGGCTACACAGTGAGCCTAAGGCCAGTATGGATGACATAGCAAGACCCTGTCTCAAGAAAACAAAACTAAAACAAAAAATGGCAACATGTACAAGTTTCAATATTCTGCTGTTTCTTTTATATCTCTTATTGAACTTATTTTTTCACCAAAAAAAGCTAAAAAGAAAATTACTAGGGAAATAGTTCTAAAAGGTTTACTTCCGAGCTTAAAATCCCTTGGAAATGTCTGCCTTCCTCCCCAGGTTAAAAAAAAAAAAACCTTCAATATTTGTTAAAGAGCAGCAGAAACTCTTCATTCAACCTTATATTTGAAAATAATGATAATCAGTACACTCACACACCCACACACACACACCCCAGATGCAGCGCTTGTAATTTAGATTTTTAGAGTTAATTAAAAAGCACCCCAGGACTTCTTAATTGTATTTCCATTTCCTCGCCTTTAAAAGACCTGGAAATGACCGATGTTTTCATTATGGAGAAACAAATCAGTAGTAACCATCAGATGTAAACCGGTGAGGAGCCCCAGCTGCGCCGCAGCTCACTGTCCAATGGGCCATGACTCTCTCTGCTACCCGCCCCCCACTATAGTAACCAAGGCCCGCTCCAGTCCTGTGTTCACACCTGATAGGGTGCTCATTTCCTGGGCATGACCTGAAGGGGTATCTGGTTTAGTCACTGGCCAGGAAAAGCCATAAATGCTATTTAATGAGATAGGGGATAAAGAATGCACAGCCCTTACTCCCCAGATATAAACACACTTATTTCAAAGGTAAGAGGTGAAAAGTCAATGGTGAAGAGAACAGATTCTAGAACTAGGGAGAATTCAGGCTCAAGGCCAACCTCTGAACAGCTGCTTTTAATGACTCTTTTAATCTTTTTTTTAATTAATTAATTTATTTATTTATTTTGTGTGTGTGTGTGTGGCCAGTTCAGCCCACCAGGTGGCGGGGCTGGCTGGCATGTGGTGCTGGGGACTGAACCGCGGTCCCTGTGCTTTTGTTTAGCTTAGCTTGTTCTAAGTAGGTGCTTTAGACCACTGAGCCATCTCACCAGCCCCAGACTCTTTTAAGCTTAATTTTTCCACTTCTAAAATGCATATACTAATGCTTTCCTCTCCCTTAATGAGAAAAACATAGAAAATGTGCAGTACAGAGCTGGGCCCCTAGTTAATAATCCGAAATTAGTAGCTATTACTGCTTGTCCCTAGACTATTTGACTAAAGAAACTATGGTTTTATCTCTGTCTGTCTGTATTTTTGAGACATTGTCTCACTGTGTAGCCCAGGCTGGCTTCGAACTCCCAGTGATGCTCCTGCCTCAGCCTCCTGAGTACTAGGATTTGTACCACCACAACCAACTTGAAACCATGGTTTAGAGAAGCAGAGCTACTTGCTTTGCTAGGGTCTGAAAGCTGTTCTTGCTTATCCCTCCCCTTAAAGCTCAGAACTACTTGACTGACTCTCTGACTCTCTGACTCTCTGACTCTCTCTCTCTCTCTCTCTCTCTCTCTCTCTCTCTCTCTCGTACTAGGGATTAAACTCAGGACCTTGCACTTGCCAGGAAGGCCCTTAAGCCAGTGAGCTCTTTCCCCAGCCCCACACCTTTTTTAAACAGAGTTTATAAGGGAAACTTATTTTTTAATTAAATTGTATGTCTTTAACATTGTGAAAAAAGACAGAACTAATTTTTTTTTTTGGGGGGGGGGAGCTCCTATGTGCCCCACCTCTCTCTCAGGAATTAAAATTGAATTGGAATCCAAGTCAGTGTAAGAACTTGTTGCCCCAGAGAAAGAGAGAAAGACCGAGAGACAGGCAGGCAGGCAGGCAGGCAGACAGTCGAGAGAGAGAGAGAGAGAGAGAGAGAGAGAGAGAGAGAGAGAGAGAGAGAGAGAGAGAGAGAGAGAGAGAGAGAGAGGATATATATTAATTTATTACTGACATAAGCCATTGAGAAGTTGTTCCTTCATGACAGGGAAGGTTTGCTCACACAGGGTGTCGGGAGGGGACACTGATCCTTAGTTACGAGGGTGGATCCCTGAAAAAGCAACCACTCTGTTTGAGGTCTTCAAAGTCGAAGCAATCGATTCATTCTAAGGTAAAAAGGCCTGGCCAAGGGGGCCCCATTGAGGCGTTTACTTGTTTAAAAGGGTTGTTTTTTTTGTTGTTGTTTTTTTTTTACTTTTTCCTTTGGAGGTGAAATAAATCAATTTTTCATGGGTCGAATGGGCTCTGACTTCTCTCATTCAAAGTCCACTGAGATGTTTACTCTGTTCTGTTAAAAGGAACAGAGCTCAAGCAGATACGCTCCTTGGTTTACAGCTCCCAGGCTCACGGACACATCTGCAGCTCACAGAGGGAACGCGCCTCACCTTGCCAGTGCAGTGCTCGGGGCCTGGCAGATCAGGCCCCCTCCCGTGAGTCTGGGAACAACGGGCCGGCTGCTCAACTGTGAACTGCTCTTCAAGCTGCCAAGTCCCCCGGGGAGGCCTGGAGGGTCCAGATGGCCGTGGACTATCACGGTCAATCTCCTTCTGGGCATGTACAGAAAAAGGCTGCCCAGGCTGTCCCCAGGTCAAACCAATTTCCTGATGAAAGCGACAAGCTTTTACTTCAGAAAAAGTGACTGACAAGAAATTCCTACACGTTTGCTTCTGATATAAACCCACAACTTGCTTATGATGTTTAAGGGGAACTATGTAGTTCTACACGGCTAGCTGGTCAAAAACAGAGGAGGCATCCTGCTAATTCGGGAGCACAGTTTCACCACCACCATCACTCCTGACCAAAACAGCCTACAAACTCCATGTGTTTAAGATAGACTGAGGAAAAGAACAGAAAGTCAGGCTGAGCTTTCTTCTCATTAAAACTTCTCTGACACCAAGTGGCTGGCTCTCTTTGGAAGAAATTTTTTTGTGGGCTAAAGCAAGTACATCTACTACATAATAAAATGAAAGTCAAAAGTATTAGATGAATGATCTCTTGAAATATTAAGGCCCATTTTCTAAATTATTCATCTGAGAACATGACTTTCAGACACCCTGGGGGTATTTCAGCCTCCATGCTAAAACTGACTCCTGGACTAAATCTAGCTAAATCATGAAACCTTCAAAGGTTCTGGATAAGGGCAATGATGGAAAAGTAGAAGAGATCAATGTTAAAACATCCTGCCACCAACCTGAACTGGGAAGTGTTAGGAAGGTTAGAACACAAGCACAATGGGAGGAAGAATTTATACAGCAGTAGTATGATTTGTAACCTTCACAACACTTTCCAAGTGGGGAAATCACCTCTGACACCAGTTGTCATGTCACTTCTGGGCTATTTTCCTAGGACACAGGGTAGATCAGAGAGGTGAGAGACCTAATTCTACCGGGAAGAAATCATGAAAGTATTTGTTTGGGGTGGAATTCTCCAGAACTCACAAAAAGAATGCGAATGGACAGCAGAGGGGTGGCAGGAACGTGGCAAAACAGAGACCATGTGCCTTGTCTAAAATAAATTAAGCCAAGAACAGCATCCACCCAACAGACAACACATTCAGTTTAAGGACCATAAATGTATGTACCTAATGTAAGGTCACAGCTTTTTTCCTTAGTTGGGGAAAAAATGGATTATTCTGGGCTAAAGGCCATTATATTCCCAGCTCTCCTATGAAGTAACTTAGGGTCATATATATGCTAAATGTCATCAACATGTACTTATGTTCTTTACGAAACTACTCTTTGATCTGACAAAACTAAACCAAAAAAATGGGATACAAATGTATGACCATTTTTGTATCTGTATACTCAAAATAGGATATACAGCTATTTTCTCTTAATTCAATGAATAGAAAGATTTGTGGACAGGATATCATCTGCATCTTGAACAATGAATAATCAGTTTTGAAACTGTCTCATTGCTACTTGTTTCTCAATAAAATTACTATTATTTTATTTATTTATTTTATTTGTTTATTTTGTGGAACCAGGGATTGAACTCAGACCCTGGCGCTTAATCTACTAAGCCATCTTCCCGGCCTTCTCAATAAAATTATTTTTTTTAAAAAAAGAAACTACTCTTTGAGCATGAGGTTTTTAATAGACTGAAATGCTTTAAAATGATGAACAAGAATATATCAATCACTGTTTATTAGACTAGAAATAGTAATAATTATGAGAATTGGCTTCAATCCAGTTTTGTTTTTGGTGGAACCAGGGATTGAACTCAGGTCCTTGTGCTTGCCAGGCAAGTGCTTATTCTAATGAGCCATCTCCCCTGCCCCTTCAATCCAGTATTATCTAATTTCATTTGATGTTCAATCAGTATTAATTTCATGTGTACTTTTACTTATTTTATTATAAAAATGCCACTTTTTTTTTTTTTTTTTTTTTTTTTTTTTTGCAGAACCGGGGATTGAACTCAGGTCCTTGTATTTGCCAGGCAAATGCTTATTCTACTGAGCCATCACCCTGGACCCAGGTTTATTTTTTACTTATTTATTTATTTTTTGGCACCATGTTATCTTTGAATGTACTAAATTGGTATTAAGAAAAATTTGTTTTAGTGCTATGAAGACATATAGCCAATTTTTTTTTCTCTAATGGAAAACCAATAAGGAATATGTAAATACACAGAACTCCTTCTATGAACTGAAATTTACCATCAACAAAAAAACAGAGAACTTTTCTTACCCAGCCCACAAGGATGGGACCAACATGTTCTGTTGAGCCGTCTGGCTTCCGAACATCTCGAAGCTGACTGAGGAGCTCTGGCAAGAAACAAACAGAATGCTTATCTTATTAGGCATTCAAATGAGCAGACTAGAGGTGGGTTGGTGTGAGTCACATTATTCTATAATTACTGATTGATGATAAGACAGCTTAGGGTTAAAAGTCACAACTCAGCCTGAGAACAAAATTATACCTTCATGTAGAGGAATCAGAGAGTCCAGTGTTCCAAAAATTTGATTCAGCTCTTGTTCGGTCATGATGGAGAGTTTGAGCATGGGGTCGTGATAGGCCTGCACAGGGTGGACACGGACATTTAAGGTCAGAGGAGGTAGGCTGGTATGGGCACACAGCTCCTGGGAGCACTGTATAACTAAAGTCAAAAGACAAAACTGGTTCTCTCACAGCTCCCATAACAGCGCAGTGACAGCACCCAGGTGTGGCGGGGGTAGAGAATCCAGCACTGGTCTGAGCCTTTTGCGGCTGTCAATAAACCAAAGCAGATTTTTCCAAAGCATTCTTATTTTAGCATAGGTTTAGAGCAGATCTGACAAGTTACAGTGTTTTAAAATTCAAAGAGATCTTTCAGTTTGAAAAACTCTTCCTGTATTCAAAATTAGCTACCAAGAGGTTTTTTTTTTCCAATTAGTACATATGCAAAATAGGGAAAAGAAAAAGTGATTAGCATCTTTTATTTTTGATTTAAGACAAAGAGAACAAAACCTCTGCCCATCCTATTTTTTTCTATTGAAGATATTAAATAAGAATACCATTATGCCAGGGGTCTGTGATGAAATATAAAGACATAGATGATGTAATTCCTGCTTTTAAGGAGTTTTTAAAAAGCAAATTGGGAATTTTTTTTTTTAAATGCAGAGAAAATGAAATACATGTTTAAAATTCACAGCATGCAAGCCGGGTGTGCTGGCTCACGCCTATGATCCCAGTACTCGGGAGGCTGAAGCAGCAGGAGTATCACCATGAGTTACAGGCCAGTGTGGGCTATAAAAGTGAGTTCAAGGCCAGTCTATAGGGGGCTGGGGAGATGGCTCAGTAGAATAAGCGCTTCCCTGGTAAGTGCAAGGGCCTGAGTTCAATCCCCTGTTCTGCCCCCCTACCCCGCCAAAAAAAAAGAAAGAAAAAGGCCAGTCTACATAGTGAGACTGTCTCAAAAATTTAAAAAAAAAATTATTGAAAGATTAACAGCATGCTGAACATTTAAAAAACTTAAAAATATTACAGTAAAATATACACTGCCATTAATTCCTCTTAAAACTCTCCTCTCTTCCCCATTTAAAATATACTTATCCCACTGTTCTTTGCACTTTCTAAATTGGTTCTGAAAGTTCTTTTTTGTGTATTTGTGTTTTTGTGGCTGCTTCAATGTCCTGAATGCATCCAAAACATTTACCTTTAAGGGTCATTCTGAATTTGGGGAAGAACCAGAAGTGACGTGCCACATCCGGTGGGTAAAGGGCGAGAAGGTCACACTGTGAGGTTTGTATGCGTCTACCTTTCAGTTAGTTGGCACCTGGCAGCAGCATTCACCATGTTTTTTAGAATCCCATCTCATGAAGACATTTTGAAAGAGTGCTTCCAGAGCTGCTTCAGAAAGTTACAAGAACGATGGGATAAGTTTCTTCACAGCTCAGGCTAAAGTTCTGAGGGGCATTAATGACAATGTGTCTTTTTTTTTTTTATTTGTTTATTTATGTAGTGTGTGTGTGTGTGTGTGTGTGGCCAGCTCAGCCCACCAGGGGGCGGGGCTGCCTGGCATGTGGTGCTGGGGGATTGAACCGCGGTCCCTGTGCTTTGCTTAGCTTAGCTTGTTCTAAGTAGGTGCTTTAGACCACTGAGCCATCTCACCAGCCCGACAATGTGTCTTTTACTGGAATTAAAAATACTGTTTTGTTGAAACATTTTCTATTTTGACCAACCTTTATATGTCCTACATGATGTCTCCCAAAATTAAATGCCTCACAGATCTCCTCCTGCAACCCTAAACATTCAGTTTCTTGGTTTTGTCCCATAAAGTCTGATGGCCATTTCAGGGATGCCAGAGCTGTCACTTCATATTAGCATGAAGTCAGGCTAAAGACCCTTCAAAAGGGAGAAGCGTCCTTTCAACCCATAACTGTCTGAGAAGGCAGTGAATACCAGAAGCTTCGAACGCATGCAGGTCCCCGTAATGGAGAAGGTTCTGGAGGAAGCTGTGTTGCCAAGAGTCCACAGGCTGCAAGGCACGAGTCTCCCCCTCTCCTCCCATACAATGTTGGCTGAAACACAAGCCTCCAGCTGAGGGAACAGCTCAGAGGTAGAGCACAGGCCTGGCGCACCTCGGTTTCCAGGTTCCATCCCCAGCACAGAACCACCAAAAAAACCAGTTTCCATATAAAAGAACCTGCCTCACGATAGTACGCAACTACTTGAACTTCACCACTCTATCCATCTTTGAGATGCAAGAGGCTTTATTTCTAAGACATTGCTCCAGTGTCAGATATCGGTTTACCCTAGTGGACAAACAGGCCCTGCGGCTGAGATTTCTAGGACAATAAAATACACATAAAACCAGGCCTCCGTAGAGACGTTCTGATGAAAAACGTGTATCCTTTGAGACACAGCACGTTCATGCAGACCCAGTGCCCGACGGGCACCAGGTGCGGAGAGCTGCTCTGCCTTGTTTGGAACCGTTCCCTGCACTGGTGGCCTGTGGTGGAGGTTCTTCTAAATTCTGATTCTTAGTCACAAAGACAGTGTTAGACTGTGTCATCTTAAAACTGTGAGATTACTCAGAGGAAAGAAAACACGAGGCGACCGGAACCACTGCTGGATTTTAGTTTACCTTTTTTGCTAACTTCAAGTCTTCTATCAGGTCTTCTTCTCCTTGAGAAAGCTCAAAGATTGCCTGCAAGAAAAGGTGTATTTATGGAACTCTCCCTTGAGTGCTGATCCTAGCAATAAAAGTTCTAAATCAATCTTCTGAGTTTGGGCGTGGTGGCGCACACCTATAATCCCAGCACTGGGGAGGCTGAGAAAAGGAGGATCACTACCAGCCCCAGCTGCCTAGTAAAACCCTGTACTAAATACATTAAAAAATAATAATTAAGGGGCTAGTGAGATGGCTCAGTGGTCTAAAGCACCCACTTAGAACAAGCTTAGCAAAGCACAGGGACCACGGTTCAATCCCCCAGCACCACCTGCCAGCCAGCCCCGCCCACCACCTGGTGGGCTGAGCTCACCACACACACACACACACACACACACACACACACACACACGTAAATAAATAAATAAATTTTTTTTAAAAAATAATTAATTTTTAAAAATCTTCTCTTTTTCTTTCTTGCTCTGTTTCTTAGACAGTCTCTCTCTGTAATTCAGGATAGCCTTGAGTTCTGTAGCCCAGGCTGACCTCTAACTTGTGGTGATCCTCCTGTCTCAACCTCCCGAGTGCTGAGATTACAAGCATGGGTTACCACACCCGGCTCCAAATCTTTAAGTACTTAAACAGTGTTCTCAAGAAGTTAAATTAACCTGAAGCAAATCCATCTACTAGCTAAAACGTGTAAAGGAAAGCTATTGTCAGCTTTCAGCATTGTAGGCTTTTCTAGCTGGCGGGAGAAAGGGCTCCCGTGCATTTCTAATTCAACAGGGCATTTTTCGTGTTCTAGATCATTGAGGAAGCTGAACAAGGGGGAACTATTTTAGGTGACAGAATTACAGTTTGGAGCACGGGTTCACATCTTCATCAGGAGTGGCAATCCTCAGCAATGATTCAGGGTCAGTTTTCATCACAGACCCGGTAACATTATTAGCAGGACCATCACCGTTTGCCTCCCTTTGACTCAACAGAAGTTGAATCTCAGTAGAGAGCTTTATTCCTCTCATCCACTTGACTTGAGGCTGTGATTTTGGAAAGCAGCCAGCATTTTATCACTCTCAATAAAACCTGGTGAGGTTCATTCATTCCTAAGGCCTTCTCAGCCCCACAGGTGCAATAAGTGAAATCACAGGCACTGGCTGTGCGTAGGAGTGCGTACCTGGGCCAGTCTGATTCAGTCATATTAATAGCCACCATCATTTTAAGGTGTGATGTGCACAGTGCTCTCTCATCTGGGAATCTAAACTGGCAAACATTGTTACTAGAGGACCATAAGCTGGGGATATAGTTGGGGGACCAGGGGACAGTGAGTGCGCTCTGCGGCCAAGTGGATGGAGGTGGGACCCTGGGGTGAGGGTAGGCCCTGCCCCTCCACTGAGGCCCAGAAAGCCCCATGTCATGGCCTTTCTTGCTCTATTTTATCTCTTGATTTCAAAACAAGACCTGGGTTGGTGAGGTAGCTCAGTGGACTAAGCACCTGCTTAGGCAAGCACAGGGACCGGGGTTCAATCCCCAGCACCACATGCCACACCAGCCCTCCCCACCCCCCCATCTCCAGTGCACTAAGCTGGCCACAGAGACCAGGCATGGTGGTGCACGCCTGTAATCCCAGTACTGGGGAGGCTGAGACAGGAGGATCACTACAAGTCTGAGTTTTGTAATGAGACCCTGTACCAAGTACATTAAAAAGAAAAAGTGGGGGAGGGGGCACGGGGAGATGGCTCAGTGGAATAAGCACTTCCCTGGCAAGTGCAAGAGCCTGAGTTCAATCCCCGGTTCAAAAAAAAAAAAAAAAAAAAAATTAAGACCCATTAGACAAGTTACAAAAAGGTACAGAAGGGGTATAGAAGGGTTCTGTGCAAGCAACACTCAGCAGCCCCTAGGTGGCATCTTACATAATCAAAGGATGTTTTCTCAAAACTAGGAAGTGGATTGCCTCAAAACGCTGAACTAGCCTTTATGGGTATCTCCCTCCGATTTCCTTGGCCATCTGTTTTTCTAGAGCTCACCAAATGCGGTCTCCAGGAGGAGAAAACCACAGGCACACTGTAGGCGATACACAATGGGCTTTCGGATGGAACAGGAATAGGGATAGGATAAAACCAGGTTCAAATCCCAACTCTGTAACTCACCAGGCTGGGACCTTGTGCTCACCATACCTCAATGATTTCCTCAGCTACAGAATCTACATCCTCCTCACTTCTTGCCTACTTTCCTCCGTTCTGTTTTTACTGTCAAACTACACGAGTGATTCAGTTTCATTGTTAACGACACTAGGGAAAACACTGAGAAGCATAAAGAAGATTGAATAGCAAACTCAGTCTCTCCTATGTGCTTCACAGCACAGATCCATCTGGGCACCCAATCTGTGGGGCTTTCCTTATACCCCAGGAAAGCAAGTGGCTCTGTGGTGGATATCATCCAGGTGCCCCAATTCAATTCTGACTCTGTCCACTTAGAGGTAGCATCGAACTCTCCAAGTTGAGGGCTTAGTGCCCAAGACTACAGTCTCTTTTAGATACCAGCAAAAAGATCCAGGATGTCGATAGAAACGAGGGTTCCCATGACGACCTCTGTGGGATTCACTGATCCTCCTAACGGCTTCTTTCACAAAGGACAGAATGTTACAGTCTACCAAATGAAGAGACACAGGGACACACAGGAGCGGAATGTGCTTCCATGCCCAACCCAGGTGCACTCTCTGAAAACCTCAGCTGTCCAGAAGCCCTGCGGGCCCTGCCTGCCTTTTTAGCTTTTCATGGAGGCACCACTACATCGGTCAGCAGTTGAACTTTCAGATCTTCCTCACTGTCTAGAAGTGAGGGGGTGTGGCTGAAAACTCATCCTTCCAAAACCTGCCTTGGTCCCCACATCTTGATGCTACCCATGGCTGGCAGCCATCAGTTCACTCACTGGCTTTGTACAAAACATTACTTCAAAGGGATGAGGCATCATATGCCAGGAAATAGGAGCCAAAGCCAAAGATTATTCACACTAGCCATTGTTAAAGACCATGCCATGTGTCTTCACAGAACTTTTTTCAAGCTATGTATTTTCAAAATTTTATTTATTTATTGAACAGATGATACATTTTCATGGTGCAAAATGTATACCACACAAATGGGCACATGGTGAAAGCCTTCTACCCTCTTTCCTTCCTGTCACCCATAGAGGCAACATTGTTGTCATTTCCTTGGGTGTCCTTCTAGAAATACTACATGATTCTACAAGCAAATGCAGGTGCATGCACATTTTATTTATTTATTTATTTATTTATTTATTTATTTATTTAGTGGAACTGGGGATTGAACTCAGGCCATTCAACTTGCCAGGGAAGTGCTTATTCCACTGAGCCATCTCTCCGGCCCCACATTTTATTATTTTTATACACCTAGGAGCATACTGTATGTCCTGTACTGTGCCATTCTCTACCCACTTTAGCCAACCATACTCATCAATTCTTCATGTGTTTCTACAGCTGCACAGTACTTCAGGCATTTAAACCACTTCCTGGTAATAGATGTACAGTCTCTTTCTAACTTAATACTATTTTAAACATTACTATGATGAGAAACCTTTTTTTCCCCCAGAAAAAACTTTTTGAGTTTTATTTCCATTTAAAGCCAACCAACAACTATGCCAATGTGTCTAGAGTTCTGTGATGAGAAATCTTGCACATATGTTTTTTCACTTGTGTATGCGGAAGCTTGGAAGGTAGCCTTCACCAATGTTGCCCCTAGAAAAGAATTTAGTCAAAGAATCTAGAAAACCACTAGGAAGAATGTATGCAATGTGTTAATTATTGAAATTGTCCTACCAATTTGGTTTGAAACTGTCTCACTGCTATTTGTTTCTCAATAAAATTATGGAAAAAAGAAAGAATCTAGAAAAATTAATTATTTTTTAAAAAATGTATTTAGTAGAGGGTCTACAGGGTCTCACTACATAGATCGGACTTGTAGTGATCTTTCCTGTTTTTCAGCCTCCCAAGTGCTGGGATTACAGGTGAGTGCCACCACGCTCAGTCCACCGTCTCAGGGCACCCTGGGGGCAGGGCCAGCATGGCAGGCTGGGGATCGAACCCCGGCCACTCCATCTGCCTACGCAGGGCCTTTAATCTGCTGAGCTATTTGGCCAGCCCTCTTAAATTACTTTTTTGGGGGTCATAGTCAGCTTCTCCATAAAAAAAAGAGACTGCAAGGATGTCATTAGAAGATGCCCCAACAAGGTGCCCACCCTGGCATATTAGCAAATTCTAGAAAGGGTGATACCACTATTGCATTTAGGGTTACTGATACAGGAAACTTGCAAGGAATGAAGAACTGTATTCTACAGAAAGGAAGTGCTCTGTAAAGCCAAACCAAAGTTCTAAAAATGAAATAATTCTAAATATTTTAGAAGCTGCCATCAAAACGCCTGTTTCTGTGAACTTCAGAACTCTAAAATAGATACTTGGTTGCAACATCCTGTACCTTCAGATATTCACATCAGTTTCTTTTTTACAGGGAAGCGGCAGTCACCAGGTTCCTGCCACATGTGCATCTTCCAATTAAGGCACAAAGAAGGGATCTGGAGACCACAGCGCAGAGCCTGCAGGCTCAGGCCTGCTCTACGGCCTTGGGGCAGACATGCAGCCAGCTCCACGATCCCCGGCCTACCTCCTGCCGTTTGATCTCCTTGGCCGTAAGCATCTGATTGACACACACGTCGAAGGTCTCACTCCACAGCTTGCTGTCTCTCCGCTTTGTGCTGGAGGAGGAGGCATTTCTGGACCAGGGTCGGGGGCCGAGGATGTCAGGGCGGCTCTCGCTGCGGAAGCTAATGGACCTCTGAACAACGAGAAAAACAAAGCATCACACAGGGTCAGCAGCAGGCCTGGGCGGGTCCTTCGAGCAGCTTCCAGGCATAAATCCCGTGCTCCAAACAACACCAGGACATGCGTGGTCCTGGCCACTGTTGTGAGTCTGCAGGCTGAAGAAAGCTGGATGGGGCCACCTTCATGCACAAACCAGCATTCGCTGTGTGACCTGGACCCAAGTACAACGCAGCACAAGCACAGAGCAGCCGAGTCACACAGGAAGACAGCCCTATGAGCTCCAAGCTCACCTCGCTGCCAGTGGACTCCTTCCCACCCTGCAGGACATGGGAGAACGATGCGTAGTAGATGGTCATGAAGAAACGCCACCGGGTTGTTTCCCGGGGCTTTTGAAATCTTCGAAACAACCCAAATGCCCATCAACTGAAGAACGCATAAAAAAGATGTGGCATTTTTATACAATAGAGTATTACTCAACTATAAAGAAAAATAGACTTGAGACTTTTATAGGTAAATGGATCAACTACAGACCATATTCAGAAGTGAAATACATCAGACATGCATGTTTAAACATATTATCTCCCTAGTGTATGAATTTGAAAGAGTAAATAAAATATGAAAGGTACAATAGCTATTGTGAAAGGGAAAGAAATTGCTTAAAAGGAAAGAACCTCTGGGATGAGGGAAAGGGGTTAAAAAGAAGAAAAAATATAACTGCACTACTAATTTCTATCGATTTATTGAAAGGAATAAAGCTTAATATTGGGGCTAGGGAAATAGCTCAGTAGAATAAGCGCTTGCCTGGCAAGCACAAAGACCCAAGTTCAATCCCTGGTTCTGCAAAAAAAAAAAAAAAAAAAAAAGCTTAACATTTTGTAACCAATTTTGCATGCTTTATCTCATAATTTGAACAATTGCTTTGACAATGACAACCAATATCACAACCATTGTTTAATTCATATCTTGTTTTTTGAAATTCTGTATCATTTCCAATGTTTTTAAATTATTTTTGCTCTCTTTAAAATAAAAATAAAATAAAAACTAAGTAAAGGAAACCACAACGTTGGGCCAGCCTGTCCATGCTCCTGGAATAGGGCCCCCACTACTCTTGAGAACCTCATTTTAAGCGCTTTGCGTGGATTCCCTCAGACCTGACCAGTTGAGAGCATGTCACCTGCTCTGGGGCTGAGCGCTGTGTCCCTGAAATTCACTACATGGTTTATAGGAGAGAAGGCAGAAGCGTCTTCATTCTTCTGGGGTTCGAGCTGAGGAGCTCACCCAAGCAGGAGCTTCTTGGAGCAACTGTCCTAGTCCCACAGAAGCATCTGTTTGTCACAGGAAAGAAGCAAAGGCTGCACAGAAGGAAGGACAGGCAGACTGATCGATGGAGGGATGAAGGGGAAAAACTCAGTCTACACTGTGTAAGGCCCTGGATGCCACTGTGCTTGAAGCCAGGAAAAGCCACCCCTGGGAACAGTGGAGTTACACTGGCTAATACAAGTGCCAGGTACACAGGCTAGGACCTGTCTATGCTGAACTTCCCCAGGCTGCTGTCAGCTCAAGAAGTCTCAGCTAGCACACACACTAAATACTACCTCGGCAGGAAATGATGTTTGCGTGTTGGATGTAGGTATTTCAGTTATTTCCCCAAGTGGCCCCAGTTGACTCTGGCTGGCCTAAATGCCCAAAGGCTAACCTGTGGCTGAAACAGGCCACCACAGTGCTTTCTCATGACGGACAGAAATCACCAGCCAGGAAGGGAAGCAAACGCATCATCTTTAGTCTTCACAAGATTTCAACACTGGAAACTTCGCCAAAGCAATGAGGCATCACTGTACCCCCAAACCACATTCTTATTTAGCAACTGTCCCCTGCCACTGCTTCCTGTGGCCTTTGGTGTGAAGTTGCAACTCCTCAGCCTGGCGCAGAGCCCTGTGCAGCGTGACCACAGGTTATATATTTAAGACCGCAGCCTGCCCCTCACCCACTAACCCCTATTCTTTAGCTCTCCTAGGCTACCTGCCATCCCGAACTGTGCCATGATTCGCCTCTGTACCTCTTCCAAGAAATCTCTCTCTCCTTCCTTTCTTTCCCTTCCCTCCCCCCTACCCCCCCCATACAGGGTCTCACTATGCAATCCCAATTCACAGTGTTCCACCCGTCTCAGTGCTGGGATTACAAGCATATGCCACCACACCTGGTTTCAGTGGCTAGCATGGCATGCGGTTCAAGGGATGGAACTCGGGTTCTTGCGCTTGCTAGGCAGGCGTTTAGGCATTTAGATGGCTGAGCAATCTCCCCAACCCCAAATCTTCTCTTTTTAAAAGGCGTTTCTTGCATTTTACAGCTGCCTCACTCCTAACTATCCCCAGAATGGAATCCAAATGCTACTTCCCCCAGGAAACCTTCACTGATGTCAACCCTTTCTCCCCCTCCAGAACAATCTGATAGACCTCTGATAAAGCAGGGACCACATTTTGCCATACTTATTGGTCACATGTTCTAAGTTATAAACTTCTCAGGACATGACATGATTTTGTATGGGATACATGAGCTAGCATCACTAAGAAATTCTAAGACAGCTTCCAATTATCTCGTAGTTAACAATAAAACTGAGGAAACTGGAGGGATTTTTGTTTTGAGAGGGGCTACTTGGTATATTGCCTAGCTTGGCCCTAAATGCCTGCATTCAAGTGATCCTCGTGTCTTATTCTTCCAAGTAGCTGGGACCACAGGTGCACACCATTCTACCCAGCTAGGACAATATATGGACACTGTTCAAGAAATTGTAATTACCTGCTTGATATAATACTATCTAGCCATTCAGACAATTTTGAGATGATTTAATGCTAAAAATCTATTCTGTGCAAATTAAACTAAAACCAGGATTAAAATCTGTATGTAAGTACTATGTAGCTATGCAAAAACCTGGGAGCTCGGTGTGGTGGTGCACATCTATAATCCCAGCACTCAAAGAGGCTCAGATAGAAGGATCACTGTGAGCTGAAGGCCAGCCTGGGTTCCATAGTGAGTTCAAGACCACCCTGGGCTACAAAGCAAGACCCTGTCTTACCAAGAAGCAAAAACAAACAAACAAACAAACAAAAAAATAGTGAGCAGAAGATGCAAATGCCATAAAATTCTCTTTCTTTATATGTGACATTATAGGTAACTTCTACCCATATATAAATATATATGGATAATCTCTCTCTCTTTCTCTCTCTCTCTCTCTCTCTCTCTCTCTCT